AGCGTAGCGAGAGGCGCAGGCGGGCGTGAGTGTGCGCTGGACGGCCGCGGCCAAGGCGAGCGCCGGGCGAGGAGGTTACCGGGGGAGGTTCAGTTCCTAAAAGCCGAGGGGGCGCCGTGTAGGACCGATCGCCCGGGCCTTCTCCGCGAGTCGCGGCGCGCGGCAGTGTCGCTTTCGGGCCCATAGGAGGCGCTGACGCGCGTCTGTAACCCTAAACCCCCGGTTCCTCCACTTCCACCCCTCCCGGCCCCACTCCCTCCACCCGGTCCGGCCCCTTCCCAGGTCTCAAGCGAAAACAATGCAAACGCCCAGCATCTTGCCTGGAGCCCAGCGGCTGCAGCCGCTCTGAGGCTGGGAGCGCGGCGGGCCGGGGCGCAGAAGCCCAGAGCAGGCGGTCGTGGCCACCATCCCCCCAGGTGACCGAGCCGCGGAGGGCGTGGAGGCGGCGGGAGGGGCAGCGGCCCGCTCCCTGTTCTTGTGGATGTGGCGGGGTAGGGGGCCGGACGGTGTTATTAAGACGGAACCTCCCGGGCGAAGGTGGGCGAGCCGCGGTCGGGGCAGCGCTGTCGGGACCCGCAGCCTGAGCAGCCGACGGGGAACGGCCAGCCAGCGGGTAAGATGTGCGGGGCTGCTGCGCCCTCTGGCGGCCCCCCGGAGCGCGGTCCGGCTTTCCGCCAGCCTCAGGCGCTGCCGCAGCTGCGTCCGAACGCCCCGCTGAGACCGAGGGGGCCCCTCAAAAATTAATTCAGGTTACCTTCCCTCCTCCCGGAGGCTTCGAATAGATGCTTCGCAGGCATGGGGTGGGCGGTGGGGAGAGGAGGTCCTCGAGTTCGGGGGTGGGAATGGGGCGTCATAATAATTAAATGTGGGAGAAGCGGAGGACCGCGGAGGTTGGAGGGTCCCGGGCGCGCATGGGGGGCAGGGAGGAAGGGGAGCTAGTCCCCGACTTCTGTTTTCCAACTGCAACCCCTCGCAAGTTCCCCAGCCACATAGGCGGCCTGTTGCCGTTTGTTTTACGGCCCCGCGCTATGGTGTAACGGGAACAGTCGTCTCCAATCACCTCGCGATTCCCGGACTGCGCCGCGGCGGCCCCCCAACTGGAGGGTTGGCGAGGGTGACACTGGCCTGAGAACAAATGGGGCAGCGCAGGGTCGGCTCAGGCGTCGCGGCCCCCATCCGGCGCGACCCCGGTGTCCTCCCTCCTCGAGGTGGGGAGAACGCTGGCTAAACAAAACCCTGAACCACCCAGCCTTCTCTCGAGTGGCTTTTCCAGCTGAACTTTTGCGGCCCGGGACGGCGGTGTCGTTTCCTGGGTCCCGAGGCCCTGGCTCTGCCCCTCCTCCCAGCGATGATGGTGATGGAGCCCGTCCCCTGAATTCTCCCAGGCCCCCGCGGAGAGTTTCAGGAGCAGTTTCCCCATTCCTGCGTCCATTCTGCGGGCTTTGAACTACCGTCACCACGAAAGCTAAAAGTACAATTTGTGAAAGGAAAAGATTGGACATTAAGATCTGAGACATTTTAGCACAGAATTTGCAGAGTCGTCTGCTTCGCCAGGGAAACTCCTGGACGCACGTCCTTGGACCAACACTGCCATCTGCTGCCGCACTAGAGAACTGCAGTGACCCTCGGCAGGAATGGGCTTCGCTGAGATTCTAAGCAAGTCCTGGCATCAGGAAGATGTGTGTGTGTGTGTGTGTGTGTGTGTGTGTGTTTATATATATATATATATATATATGTATATATATTTGCTCGGTAGGACCAAGTGAAAGATGACCTTTTCCTATAAAGCTTCAAGAACCAATGGGCGGTCAGAATTTATTTTGGAGGTCTTTGTGATGTTATTTTGCTTTAGTTGTTATTTCTTGGCATATCAGAGCAGAATTTGCATTTCCCTTTGTGAGTGAAGCCCTAGCCTAGTGTCTTGGGCTTGGTAATCTCCAGCTCAAGGGTCATCCCATTAGGAGGCACACCAGTTTGGTGAAATTGAAAGGAAGTATCATGTTAGTTTCCATGGTTAAATATCTGGTGCAGGGAGAGCAGAGAGATTTATGAATTCATATTGTCCCATGAAATTCTTCCATGCAAAAATACTCCAGCTTCCACCCATCACTGGAATGTCTACTGGAGCATAGAGAGATCAAAACAACAAAACACACTCTCCGGGGTATAGATCCTGGTCAACACACCCTCCCTGAAGTTACCACCAATGTAGACAGGCACTCGGATTGCCTGGACTGACGTTAGGAGACTGAGGAGAGCATTTGTCACAGTGAAAAAAAACAGGATATACAATTTTCACAGTTAGAATTAACTTAGGAGAGCTGACATTAACTAAACCTCGAAAATCTGAATCTTGAAGTCGTCAGTGGCTTTTGGGACTGTGAGAGCGTCTCCCGTGGTCTTTAATCATGCCAGGGTGGAGTGACATTCGATACTCATGGGCTCCGCAGTGGGTGCCTGGTGCAGTTGGTGACCGGGAAGCCAGCTCTGTGGCTTCATGGGAATAACAGTGCACTCTCACTTCTGGAAATAGGGTCCGTGCACTGCGTGCTCTGTTTACTCTGTAGGCTTAGCATGTTGCCTCTGGTTATGGAGTCACACTCAATGGCTCTGCACTTCTGTTTGCGGGATGAGAGGCCAACCTGCTCAAGAGAAAGACTCATGACTGCAAACAGATGTGTTTCTCTGCTTATGTGACAGTACATTGGCTCAACTTAAAATAGTCTGGAGGGCCACACCAAGCCTGGGCAGAGTCTGAGTTCAGATCAGCTCCTCCACTAGGCAGTGATGCAGGGCAAGTGACTTGGCCTCTGGGGACCGCCTTTCTCAGGAAGGAGACGTTGAGGTACCCAGTCTTGATGTTCCTCTCATCTAAAACATCTGAGGACTCTGCAGAAAAAAGAGTCAATATGACAGCCAATCGCTGTAGCTTCCAAAGCAATTGAACGGTGTAATTTAATCTTTACAATCAGGTAGTAAGGCCAGCTCGAAAGTCAGGTGTGACTGATTATCCCTGGGTAACAGAAGAAGAGACTTAGAGATGAACTAAGTGTAAGATACGGGATCAGAGCCTAGTCCAATGTGATTTCCATCATGTCTTCTAAGAGAAGGAATGAGAAAGACGAGAAAATGGTGTATGTGTGGGGTGGTGGGGTAGGAGGCATTGTGGGAGGATCCCAAGTCCTTGCTTGAAATTGAATGTGGCAGGGATCTGTTTTATCAGTTGTTTCTCTAACTTGTGGTACATGTTTTTGAGTTGTGATTATAGAGGTTTGAGATCAAGGTCCAACATATAGTTGGCATGAGAGAAATGATTATGATTTTTTAAAAAAAGCTTTGGGTGAAATTTTATTTTTAAAATACATTTTTATTGATTTCAGAGGAGAGGGAGAGAGAGAGAGAAACATCAATGATAAGTGAGAATCACTGATGAGCTGCCTCCTGCACACCCCCTACTGGGGATTGAACCGGCAACCTGGGCATGTACCTTGACCAGGAATTGAACTGCCTGGTTCATAGGTCAACACTCAACCACTGAGCCACACTGGCTGGGCTGGGTGAAATTTATTGTTCCTCCTCGCAAAGTGATTTGTTCTTGCTGACTCATAACGTGCCGTGTTCCTCTGAACTGACTTTTGGATGAGCTTCAGGAGAGGGGTTACTGATTAAGGATGAACTTCTACTCCCAGAGTAGGAAAGTGCCCAGTAGAGCAACAATCCTAGAGATTGTCACTCCAGGGCCACCAGGCAGGGAAGCCCTTCCATCCTCTCTGGTTGTTTTCCATTACCTCCCGGTAGGGTGAATACTACTATTTTTTCACCAGTAAATTGATGAGTAATGACATGAAACTTCACAAATCCGCTTTGATTTCCAGCCAGGCAACCACTCTTATCAGAGAAGGGAGTTTGAAATCTTAAGCAAACACATGTTGATTTTCAGTATTGGCATCATTATCGCTCGCTCCCAGGCCTTGTTTTCGTTGCCCACTTTGTGTGTCAGTAAGTATCCCACCTGGCAGAGGGTCCGCTATATCTGGATGCGCAGAAGGAAATCTGGTGGGGCCTGGCCAGGGCAAAACGATGCTCGGAGCCTGCCCTGTAAAAGCCGCAAACCCCGCTCTGAAGCCAGGGAATGCTTTAAAGATGCGTTGTTGGCAAGCCCTGCTAGAGAAATACAGGATATAAATGTGATAAAACCCAAGACAGCAAGCTGGCTCTGGAGAGCTCCTTTGAAGCTGGCTAAGTGGATTATCAGTGGGAGGCTGATATGTATATGAACAAACACGCAAGCCCTTACTGCTAATTGGAGGTAAATCAGGCTGGCCATCCTGGCTTGGGGGCCCGCTGCGCCCCTCACAGCGGCCCTGTGGAAACCCTGCAGCCCGCGCACATGCCAGGATCCTCGGACGCCCTCAGCCAGAATCATGCAAATTGCATTAAGGTTCTCAGCACTGCTTCTCTCACTGTGGTGAGCAGAGAGGAGAAGCAGGGCCCCAATCTGCATTAGGAGGTAGTTGGGAGCGGGGGAGGGGAACACCCTGGCGGAGACACTGACCCTATGGTGGATGGGAGAGAGCATGGCTTTTGCATCACGCAGACTTGGTGTTAGAAAACTGCTTTCTCGCCAGCTGTGTGACTTCTGGTCATTTGCTAACCCTCTCTGAGCCTCAACTGCCACTTCTTAAAATCAAATAGGCCACAGGGTTATTATTAACAAACACAGCATACACATGAAAACTTTGGCTTAGTGGATATTGGTTTCTCATTCCTGCCTTGGGAAAAATAATGATTATTTTTCCAGTCCAACCCCATCCCCTTCCCTGTTACCAACATTTCATCTTTCCTCCTCCTTCCTTCGTTTTCTTGGTAGAATTCAATGAGGCAGAAATCTGATTTATGCAAGTAGATCACCTTGCCACTTTAGAGCAAGCCCACTTAGAGTTTCTTTTCATTGCCTTCCGTAAGTCCCCTTCATCATGTGGGAAGTGCAGGGGGAGATAAAATTGTGTGGGAGTGTACATGAGAAGACAAAGGTCAAGGAAAGGGGCCTTTTCAGAGAGTTGACCAGCTCAGTGCTTTTATGGAAAGGCAACGTGGGCCTCTCTTTAATTTTTCTGTTCCTTAATTTTATTTATCATGCTTTCCTTCCTTCTTGCCCAGTGCTTTCCCTGTTTGTATCTTGTGGACGTTTAATTTCAATATCTCCATTTCTCTTCCATTCCCCAGACTGTGTTACAAGAATCAGAGTCCAGAATTTGGTTTCTGTAGCTGCTATTATAACCTTCACATGCAAATGAATCACTGGTCTCCATCAAGTTTTATCCTGTGCTCTACTGCATCCCCTGAGACAGGGATTTAGTCACACTCTCCTCTCCCATTTCCTCTCCCTTCTTCACTTTCTTTACTGACCCTCCTTCCATGCCTATGCCCTGGGCTGCCTGCCCTCTGTTAGCTAGACTGTGAGGGCAGCAGGTCCTGGGAGAACTTGGGCTGGGAGCCCAGGTCTGAGCCTGGTACTGGCCTCTGGATCACAAAGTGACATCATGTCCTGTAAGTGACATTAATTAGTGGGACTTTCAAACCCTCTAGATCTGAATGGCTCTTAGAGAATGAGATATTTTTTCCAGCCAAGCATTTTTTTCCCAAGGTGGTAGAGGATGTGAACTTCATATACTTTCTGTGGTGAAACAGCAACTCACAATCCATTTTGAGTGAAAACAGCTCAAGTTTGGAAATTTGAGTAAATACTGTTAGGGTCGCCGAAGGAGGAACATGAGGCCAAAGTGGTGAGGGATTATAAATGTATTAGGTCATCTGGTTACCAGATGGACTGAGCCCCAAAATGGTGCCAGCACCCAAAGATGGGGAGTCAGAGGTTTTTAAAGGACTCTGGTCGGACTTATTCCTGGGCAGAGAATTCTCTGTGCAGGTCGGATCCTGGGAAGGTCCGGAGGGGAAGGATAATGGTCTTAGCAAGTGGAATGTGGTCTTAGCAAGTGGAATGGGGTCTAAGTGAAAGGGAGTGTCCGTTGTGAAGTGGCCAGGAGAGGGGTATTGATTCAATTATTTGATCAGACCTAACAAATACGTGTTTACATCTTCCTTTTTTCACGTTCTTAATTGAAATGGCGTAAAAGGAACAGTTCTCCTGTACTCTTGGACACATTCCAAGACCATAAAACGAGACATTTCCGGAATTTGAAAACTGCATGCAATCAAAAAGGGTTCCAGCTTCAGATGGCTCCTGTCATGATCCGGGGGCCCCACCAGGCTATTTGAGTCTTTCTTCTTAGGCATCTTCTTATTTTAACCATGAATCTTACACTGGGATATTTTTTACTAAAATGATGCTGTTGACATGTTCTGTAGCTCAAAGCACAAAGAGAATGGGGCTCCCAGGTTGTTTCTATTGGCTAACACTGTTTCTGTTTGCTTTGCATCTTTTCAGTTTTCCGGAGCTATGGGGACTTCCCATCTGGCACTCCTGGTCCTAGGCTGTCTCCTCGCAGGTATGGATCTTGGTCTTCTCTATTACCCTGGGGGAAGCCTTGCTTTCTAAGTTCTGTGCTCCGGGGCATATTACCTGTACAGTCCAAAGGAATGAAGAGAAGTAGAAAATTATAAGACATGATCTACAGTGACCACAAACCTTCAGTTCCCTATTTCAGAAAGAATGTTCTCCGGGGGCAGTGTTAGTATATGTCAACCCTAGCATTGAAATATTGTTAGGAATAATAGTCTAAATTCACCCACTGGCCTCTTCCTTTTCCTGGGACATGGGTGTTCAGTCGAGGTGGATCAGAGAAATTAAAAAACAATTTCTTTTTAATAAAAGAAAAGTTCTTGTCCAGGATATTGCCTGCCTTAAGTCATTAATAATTAACGCATAGTATCTCTTCTATCAGTTTTATGCAGAGGAGAAGCTAGACTGAAATTTCAGGTTCTAAGATAGACTTTTCACTCTTGGGCTTTACTTAATCTTATTATTTAAAAATATATTTGTATTGATTTCAGAGAGGAAGGGAGAGGGAGAGAGAGAGAGAAACATCAATGATGAGAGAGAATCATTGATCAGCTGCCTCCTGCACACTCCACAATGGGGATTGAGCCCACAACCTGGGCATATGCCCTGACCCGGAATCGAACCATGACCTCCTGGTTCATAGGTTGACACTCAACCACTGAGCCACACTGGTCGGGCCTTACTCTTATTTTTGAATGAAAATTCACATGGTTCCGCTTTGGTTTCTGGAAGCCATTAGAGTGAAGGCATGTCTGAGTCTTGTACGAAACAGACGATGTGTAATTCTGCACAAACCTGCTTTGTGCTTGGTTCAGTGTCCCTGCCCCTGTTCTCACCCCTTTCTTACTCAGGGAAACCTCTGCAGAGAATGTGGGCAATAAAGAACCATATGTGCTAGAGCCTATGCCATCTTGGGATATTTTATGGCCACACATAAGAGTCTGAAATATGGAATTGGAATCAGACGTCCTTTATCCATTTGAGTGTTTGGGGGGTGAATCTGAGGGGCTTGGTGCGGCTATTGAGGCCTTTGGAGCAATTGCTGCTCTCAGCAGATGCGGTGGCTGTTATAATGGGGGGCCTTTCATGGGCATCCAGGCTGACGGATTTTTGTGTAGAAATGGTCATTGTTCATATAAGCGGCTACTGTTGCTTCTGGGTGCATCCTATTCAGAGCCTGTTTCCTTTTACAGGGCCGAGCCTAATCCTCTGCCAGCTTTCACTACCCTCTATCCTCCCAAACGAAAATGAAAAGGTTGTGCAGCTGAATTCATCCTTTTCTCTGAGATGCTTTGGGGAGAGTGAAGTGACCTGGCAGTACCCCATGTCTGACGAGGACCCCAATGTGAGGATCAGAAACGAGGAGAACAACAGTGGCCTTTTTGTGACGGTGCTGGAAGTGGCCAACGCCTCGGCGGCTCACACGGGGTTGTACACTTGCTATTACAACCACACGCAGTCAGAAGAGAACGAGATTGAAGGCAGTCACATTTACATCTACGTGCCAGGTGAGCTGGACGGGTTCCTTGGACCAACCTTGTTGCCCTGTCTCTCCTGTGTTCTGTATAAGAGATTTTGTTTTGTTAATTCTCACTGGAGGATATTTTCCCATGGATTTTTAGAGAGAGTGGAAGGGAGGGGGAAGGACACAGAGAGAGAAACATCGATATGAAAGAGACACATTGATTGCCTCCCGCTCACAACCTGACCAGGGCAAGGGATCGAGCTTGCAACCAAGGTATGTGCCCTTGACCGGAATCAAACCTGGGACCCTTCAGTTCATGGGCTGATGATCTATCCACTGAGCTAAACAGGCTAGAGCTGTATACAAGATTTTAAAAAATATAAAAGTAACAAATATTTATTGGAGAAAATTAGGAAAAAACAGGCAAACACACAATATTAAGTTGATCATTATAATGTCATTATCAAGAAATAATTCATTGTTAACATTTTGAAACTGTAGTAAGTTTTAAAAATCATTTTTATTGTGGCATACCTTTATTGGTATTACACACAAAGAATCTGAAATCTACTCATTCCTATTCGGTTCAATCAAGTCCCACAAATACTTACTGTGCGTTTCCTGTGTGTCAGGCATCATGCTAAGTGTTGGGGTCACAAATTAATTAGGTAGGCCCTACCTGGGTGTTGCCCATCGCTCATTATTATAGTTTACAAATAAACTTTTTCTCAAAATCACTAAAACATGTATCTACTCTTGATGAATTGGAAGGGATATTTTTTTGTTTTTAATTAAAATTTAGGGCAAGGCCTGGCCTGTGTGGCTCAGTTGGATGAGCCACATCCCATGCACCTGAGAGGTCACCAGTTCAATTCTCGGTCAGGGCACATGCCCAGGTTACAGGCTGATCACCAGTGGGAGGGTGTGTAGGAGGCAGCTGATGGATGTTTCTGTCTCATAGAAGTTTCTGTCTTTCCCTCTCCCTTCCTCTCTCTAAAATCAATAAAAACATTAAAAAAATAAAATACAGCCCTGACTGGTTTGGCTGAGTCGATAGAGCGTCAGCCTGCAAACTGAAGGGTCCCAGGTTTGATTCCCGTCAAGGGCATGTACCTTGGTTGCGGGCACATCCCCAGTAGGGGGTGTGCAGGAGGCAGCTGATCGATGTTTCTCTCTCATCGATGTTTCTAACTCTCTATCCCTCTCCCTTCCTCTCTGTAAAAAATCAATAAAATATATTTTTAAAAAAATACAACTTAGGGGCAAATCGAATAGTAATGATCTTATCTCTTGTCCTTTGAGAAGCAGATGCCACGGTAGGAGTAAGGTGGGATTAAACATGCCAGGGTTTTATCAAGGGCTTATGTGAGAAAATGGGGGGACGGGGTATTCCACAGAGGCTGGGAGAGTTGTTTGACTGCATGGTAAGTGTGACCCTGAGTGAAGGGAAGGTGAGGCAGATGAGTCCTAGACCTCTACGGAAGGCCCTGGAGTCCTCCAGCCTAAGGAACCCCCGTTCCACATGGTCATTGGCTGAAAACAGCCCCAGAGGGCGTGGCCTTGGGTTGTGATGGATTTCAGCCCTGGCTCCCCTGGTTGGAGGAAGGGGTGTGGTCCTTTCTCACAGCACCACTCTGATTGGCTAGGCTTAGCCATGAGATGACTGTAGGGGGTAGGAATTTGAAAGAAGCATTTCCTAATTTAACAATCATGACTATTTTCTTTAGCTTTTCAACAGAGTTAATTATTTTATTGTCCGTTTTTTGTTTTGTTTTTAGTAGGTTAAGTTTTGATTTCAATTCCTGGCTACTGTATGTATCATCAGTATTTTTTATTAATGTACATGCAATTTGGCATTGTCCATACTTTAAAATCATCTTCTAGCTATTATGATGACTAATATTAGTGGGGTGACAGCTCCTGGACATATGTGTGAAGGTAAATTAATAAGATTACTGCCAGTGGGATCCATTTTTCTTGCATATATATGTAAAGGTGAATTTAATACCTAGTGTGCTTTTTTGCTTTTTTTGACCACAGACCCAGATGTAGTCTTCGTGCCTCTGGGAATGACAGACTATTTAGTCATTGTGGAGAACGACGATTTTGCCATCATACCTTGTCGCACGACTGACCCTCAGACTCCGGTGACCTTGCTCAGCAGTGACGGGGTGGTCCTCGCTGACTATGACAGCCGGCAGGGCTTCAACGGGACCTTCTCGGGTGGGCCCTATGTGTGCGAGGCCATCGTCAGGGGGAAGAAGTTCCACTCCATCCCATTTAACATTTATTCTGTCAAAGGTAACTGTGCCCTCTCCCTCCTTTAAATGAGAGTTACAGGCCTGCGTTGTACACCTGAAACTAATGTAATATTGTACATCAAAATTAAAAAAAAGAAGATTACAGGCAAAATAATCGCATGCTTGTGGTATTAAAAAATGTATAGTCCCTGGTGATGGAGAGCCTGAGTTCTGACTTGAGCATTTGGGGGCCTTACCTTTTTCATACAATGTCAGGCTGACCTCTGTGGCTATAGTCAGACGAAGCTTAGCCTTACTGAAGGTAAACACTTTCTTACCCCTGTAGGACTTCGTGTTTCATAAGCTGACTTCAAAATACTATAAGGAATTTGTTTATTGTATAAGCCTCTTACTGTTTTATTCACATTCCTGACTACAGAGGCCCTAAAAGCGCACACACACACTGAGGGGCTTTGGGTGCCTAGATTAATTTCAGTAACTAAAGAAAAGAGATTTGTATTTTGAGGAAAGTAGTTGTAGGCTTCATCCCTTTGATGTGGGGTTTAATGAGAATGGGAAAGTGCAATACACGTTCGTGTCAGCGATGGATTGAACTCTTCCCTGTAGGTATGGCAGCAGCGAGAGTATGCCATTCAACTCTTACTACAGGCTTGTTCTGTGCCAGGCGCTGTGCGAGTCTCTGGAAAAGTGCTGGGAATAACTGGGAGCAGAGGAGGAGAGAAGAGGAGACTGATTGGTGGGATAGGAGCTAAGTGCCTAGAGCAGTGCTGGTCAGTGAGGGTTGGTTGGTTAAGTGAATACATGTGCCAGTACAGGGGACTGCAAACAAGTACGGCCACAGTTAACCCAGATGCTTTGGGAACGTGATGTTTAGTTGGAATTTATTTTTACTGTTGTTATTATTTATGTGTGTGTATTATTTTGTATTACAACTGCATGCCAAGTTATATATGCCAACTCAAAATCAAGGCTTCTGAGATTTTTAACATTTTATCTAGAACAAACTGGTTTGCAAATTATTTTTCATAGTTTCCTTAAAAAACAAAAAACTCCCCAAACATTCTAAGATTCTAACTATACTATGGATATTTAGGTCCTTTTGTTTGTTTGTTTGTTTTTTAAATAGCAACATCAGAACTCGATCTAGAATTGGAAGCCCCGAAAACTGTCTACATGGCAGGGGAAACCATTGTGCTCACCTGCATCGTCTTGAACAACGAGGTGGTTGACTTTCAGTGGACTTACCCTGGAGAAGTGGTAGGTACCCTCGGGGCTCCTGGTGGCATGGCGAGGAGCAGGGCTCACTGATCAGGCACGTGGCTGAGCTTCTCTAGACCCCAGCTTCCCATCTCTACAGCGGGCACATTTGGCTGGATGACTTTATGGTGCTTTGAGCAGTGGGAGGGTTTGAAAGGACATTCAGTATGTAGCAAGGTTGTACACTGAGCCTTCTTGTTCTTAAGTCAGAGAGAAATAGGAAGGTTTAATATAACAACCAAAATACTAGAAAAAGCAAAAAAATGAATGGATTTTAACATTTGCTAATTGTTGAAACAGTCATTAGTTCTTGCTTTTTTGGCTCCCATGCCTTGGGGGTTTACTAAATGGTGGTTGCCTGAACCCCTTCCATTTCTGCCTTGTTGTCTGCCACCCAGGATGCTGTTCTGTCTCCTACCTGCCCGGCCTTTCTTCACATGGCTCAGCTTTAGTGAACAGGCATCACTTGCATCATGCAGCAAAGATTCAGTGATGTTTGCTAAACCCCAAGCATTCTGCTAGAAGCCAGCCATGCAGAGAAGGAGGAAGAAGGGAGGAGTGGAGATGCAGCTGGGGAAGGGGGCCACTGTGCCATCTCTGGTCACCGTGGACTTACACACAGGGTCTAATGCATTGTGGTACACGCATGAGAGAACTCAGTGCAAAAGGCAGTGACAGTCCAATGCAGAAATGATTAGCTGCTTAATACGGCAGCCTCAGAGAACAAAAGCCAGATACTAGTAGATGCATATTTTCCCCTTTATTCCTGATATGCAAATTTCTGCTTTTATACATCTTCCCTGAAATAGGAAGTTATTCAGTTTTTCTGTTTAGATTTGATTGCCTTTAATCCTTAAAACATAATTGAAAAATTATTAGAGATAGACATTTCCCCCCCAAAACCAAAGTACATACTATTTGGCTCCCAAATATACAAGTATATAATTAATTTTTTTTGTCCGATAATAAAAGTAATGTAGGTTTATTGTTGAAACTTCATAAAATATAGAAAAACAGGAAAAATGACTTCCCAGAGCATCACCATTAATATTTTAGGGAGATAAATCCTTTAAATACTTTGTATATATGTGTAATGTTTAATAATTAATAGACATTATACTTCAGTATTTCATTATACCCTTTTCCCTTTGGCAATATAGCACAGACACCTTTCTATGTCATTAACTATCCTTTTAAAACATGGTTTTCTAAGGAGTGAGCTTAAAAACAATTTTCTAAAATCAGGCTTTATGTTTTAGAGCAGTTTAAGGTTCACAGCAAAAAGGAGTGAAAGTTACAGCGATCCCTCCTCCCTACACACACATGTACAACCTCCCCTCTTCTCACCATCCCCACAGGGTGGTGCATTTGTTAGAACCTACATTGTCATGTCATTGTCATCACCGTCCCTAGTTTACAAGAGGGGTCACTCCTGGGGGCTAGCTTCTTAAAGTCGCTTTTCCTCCTTCTGCTGCAGAAAAACAAAGGCGTCGTAATGCTGGAGGAAATCAAGGACCCATCCATCAAACTGGTGCACACCCTGATGGTCCCCAAGGCCACGGTGAAAGACAGTGGAGATTACGAATGTATCGCCCGCCTGGCCACCAGGGAGGTCAAAGAGATGAAGAAAGTCACCATTGCTGTCCACGGTACACTCTGCTTTCTAAACTGTCAGCGTCCACGCTGCTCGGGAGCCACTGTGCGGTAATCATTGTTTAACGGAAACTCTTCCCTGTACAGAGAAAGGGTTCATTGAAATCCAGCCCGGCTTCAGCCAGCTGGAAGCTGTCAACCTGCATGAAGTCAAACATTTTGTGGTGGACGTGCAGGCCTACCCGCCGCCCAGGATATCCTGGCTGAAGGACAACCTGACTCTGATCGAAAACCTCACCGAGATCACCACCGACATAGAAAAGGTCCAGGAGATCAGGTAAAGGAGCACCCTCCCCACGAAGGCCTTTTCTTTTTATTGTGTGTCGCCAGATAGACAGCGGCCTGTGTGCATCCTACAACCCACACCAGGGATCAGTCTAGAACAGCGGTTCTCAACCTGTGGGTCGCCAACCTGTGGGTCGCGACCCCTTTGGGGGTCGAACGACCGTTTCACAGGGGTTGCCTAAGACCATCGGAAAACACATATGTAATTACATATTGTTTTTGTGGTTAATCACTATGCTTTAATTATGTTCAATTTGTAACAATGAAAATACATCCTGCATATCAGATATTTACATTACGATTCGTAACAGTAGCAAAATTACAGTTATGAAATAGCAACGAAAATAATTTTATGGTTGGGGTCACAACATGAGGAACTGTATTTAAAGGGCCAGAAGGTTGAGAACCACTGGTATAGATGATGATGGGAAAAGAAGTGGAAAACTGAATCTGGGAGGCTTTCCGATGACACAGAATGAAGGTGCACAAAGAGGTGGGAGGTGCTGCAATTTGCACGAGGCTGTGAGGCTAGGAGGAATAGCCCCTGCCCCCCCCCCCCCCCAGCACAGCCAGCACTTCAAACACGTGTCTGGGCACTACCTGTAAGCGACAATCGACAGTAATGACAACTGAGTGATTCAGCAAAACTGCCGGTGAAATTGATGCGGAGTTCCTTCAGCACATATTCTTCTGGTTCCCACTATGGGCCAGAGATGAACACGATGGATGAGGTGTCTGGCTTCCTGGAGCTCAGAACTAGTGGGTCCACTAGCCTCCTTGGCTGAACAGTATAGCAAATGAAGGACAGAAGAGCCTTTGGTAATCAGCAGCCAGATGTGCCTACGGATTCTCTCTAAGGAAATTCAGTCCTGGATGTGTCCAATAGGGTGCAGCCAACCCCACATGCTCTCATCAAGGTCCTAGTGCCCGGCATCTTGAGTTAGAAGACTCTCATTTGCAGAGCACTTTTGAGTCTATGAAATGCTTCTATGCATATAATTATATTTAATTAATTCTCTAAAGGACTGTGTGCTATGCAATAATATTTCTATGCTACTAGTATACATAAGGAAACTGAGCCATTTCAATAATGCCCAAGGTCTGCTCACCATGAGAATGTCAAGAGTAGCCTAGGCTGCTCACCTTGACCAATGCTCTTCTCCACTCTACTTGCTTTTCCATCTGTGATGTTTTATAAAGATGGGCAAATGGGCAAGTGCTATGTTGATGCACACACACACACACACACACACAAATGCATGGCCAAATTTAATAATATACATGTGTAAGAATCTTCTGAGGAAACTTCGCTTTAATAAAGTATTGAAGAAATACATTTTTCTGGTTGACTTTTTTGAATAGGTGATGGACTCCTGTGCTTTAAAGTCATGCACATAAACAGGGTGCATTGTAAGAAGCCTCCTTCCACTCCTGTCCCCACCTGCCCAGTACCCCTCCTCCCACCCACAGGGAAACACTTTTGCTAGGTTCTTATGAAACCTTCCAGAGTGTTTTGTTTTTTGTTTTTAAAGCAAATACAAGCAAGAAGAACGTTATATCCTGACAAGCTCTCCATGTCAATATGTAGAGAGCCTCATTTTTTTTTTCATTGGTGTTTCATTGTTTGGCTAAACCACCTAAATGGCTAAAAAAAAGTAAAAATCAAGGTGTTTTTTTTTTTTAAAGGAAAGTTGGTGGGACATGTTTATTCCCACTCAGAAGTCAGGCCTTGCCAGGACTAATTACTCTTGGAGCCACACAAGTCATTGCTCATCTCAAAATGTTTGCTCTTCTGCTTAAGGATTAAGCATCTAGAACTCAGACCTTTAATAGGTACAAAGTGTGTTGGAAATCCAATGATTCAGATAAGAAAAAAAAAGATATTTCAATTGAACATGGTAGTTGCTGAAGCAATTGGCATGTATTTGGCTGCCACTTGCTCAAACAAAGTCCTTTCTTTTTAAGGTACCGAAGTAGATTAAAGCTGATCCGTGCTAAGGAGGAAGACAGTGGCCATTACACTATTGTCGTTCAAAATGAAGACGACATGAAGAGCTACACTTTTGAACTCTTAACTCAAGGTATGTTGAGGGCAGTCTGAAGATATTGCTTGTGAGGAGAGCCAGGTACTTTTCTCCCAGGTCTGGGAGGGAAACGCTCATTTAGGGGAGAAGCAGGGGCTGTAGATGTCACATGTCAGGGATAGCTTTGTTGGACTTAAGCATTCAGTAATTCTGGGAGGGTTCAGACTGCTCTGGAACAGTCTTATTGGACATTCCTAAGCTCCAGCCGCTTCCTTACCACCGGCTTCTCAATCTGGCACCTACAGTTCTGGGAAGAGTGAAATGATACTTTTTGGTCTAGATGACCTTAGATTGTTCCAAAGCATTTGGGCATTTTTACTTAGCTTCCCTGTCGACATGGTCCAGTGGCCCTCACCAGAAAGGAGTGCCTGAGTCCTTTTATATTCAGGTTTAGCACCTGTTCATTGAGCTCCTACCATGTGCCAGGTACTGTCGTAGGTGGGCTCATTTTACCATCACAGTAAAGCTATGGTACAAGCAGTAGCATATTTATTTTTAAATTGTTTGATCACAGGTTTAAAAAAATCTTTAAAACCTGATAATATTCTGCTGATGTACTTTGGTAAATGCTGCTTTAGATTCCACTTGAGCTGAATCCGTTGGTTGAATCCCAAGCTATATTAATTTTAAGAGCCTCTTTGCCTTTCAAGCCAAATAACCACAGGGGCTTTTTGCTTTCTTCACTCTTAGATTTAAAACACTATGGGGCACAAATCCCCAAACACAGAAATATGAAAGTGCTCTTAACCAAGTGGGTCTTTGCAAACTGGAGTATTATCATGCACACAACTTCCTCTCAGGTGGTTTCCTGATTTGTAGGTTCGGATGCCCCATGAGCAAGTTCTGAGCTCATATTCCATGTGGTAGTTTCCAGAAGTTTGGGGTCAGGAATCATCCAATTCTGGTTTCTTTCCACTGCTTGCAGTTCCCGCATCTATTCTGGACTTGGTCGACGACCACCATGGCTCCACGGGGGGACAGACCGTGAGATGCACAGCTGCAGGGACACCTCTTCCTGAAATTGAGTGGATGATTTGCAAGGATATTAAGAAGTATGGAGACCAGATGTTCCTTTTCCATTTGTGGGCTGAATGTTTCTTCCTTGATGCAAAGGACCTCAAGTGCTTTTATTTCTTTTGTATTTGAGATTCTTATTTGGCCCAAGTCTCATAAACTACAAGATAAGATTCTAAATGTGGTCCTTGTGTGTGTGTGTGTGTGTGTGTGTGTGCACCTGTGTGTTCATGACTATATGAGAGACAGTCTATGGCTTTCATCACATTCTCCAAGGATCTCTCATTTAAAAAGAAAACTAATTTAAAGAGCTCCTGTTACAAGAGGATTTTAGCTACCCCGGGCCACATTTTCACCTCACGTTTCTTGTATGGTGAACTTTATTTGGCAACTAGACTGGCATGTGATCATAAATGAAAATACTGCCCATGTCACTGCTCACTACCTCATTTGCCTACCTGCTATTTGATGGGATTTAACTCACCAGTTCTTCCTTCACCAACCTTCTCCAATGGGCACACAAACAACATGTTCACACTTCCACCCATGGCGACTGGCTGTGTGTAGAAGCCTCAATTGCTTCTCCTAAAGGCTGAGACCTACCCACTTCTAAGAGCAAAGGGACCAGATTGGGATCTTGACTGGAGCTATAATCTAGGTCTCAAAACTCAGCCAGGTGATACTCCAACCCTATAACACCTTGGAGGCTCTTCACAGTGTAGATAGAGAGAAGGAATGGCCCTGGGCCTTTTTGACGGGGTAGGAAATTGGGATAGTTAAACATTCTTGAAGTAAAAAACTGTTCTGTTGCTCCTGTTCAAGGCTTGGGATTGGTAGTTATGTTTGATTGTACTTGTCTCTATGTTTGTGTCCTTTTTCCCCCCCAGATGTAATAATGAGACTTCATGGGCGATTTTGGCCAACAACATCTCAAACATCGTCACGGAGGTCTACCGCCAGGACAGGAGTAGGGTGGAGGGCCGGGTGACGTTCGCCAAAGTGGAGGAGACCATTGCGGTTCGATGTCTGGCTAAGAATCTCCTTGGTGTTGAGAACCGAGAGCTGAAGCTGGTGGCTCCCAGTGAGTTGCTCATCAGTGGGGACAAGTCTAAGTCATCAGCCAAGCCCTTTCTCCCTGAGGAGTCCAAGATGGGGTCCCCAGGCAGAAAGTCAGCTCTGATCACTCTGGCATCTGTAGGGAGTCCTTTCTTCCAAAACTGCACCCTCCTTTCTTCCAAAACTGCACCCTGCAGAGGCCCCTTGCTTGTCTAGTCTGAGTGTGGGAATGGAGGGGGCAAGAAGGCGCTCTGCCCTGTGCTCCTTACAACAGTTGAGACAGGTTGAATTCCTTAAGAAAAAAATTAATGAAGCCAAAAGCAATATAAACAAAATGCAACCTTTCAAAGCAAACCGAACCTAAGTTTCTGAACTTATAGGAGCTCTCCAGCTCATTTATCAGTCCTTAGATTCCAGTTCACATTCTGTCCAGGTTAATGTTGAAGCACCTTTAGAGAAAGTATTGCATTCCCCTGATTGAATTTTGCCATTTTTCCCTAAGGGAAGAGTTGGAGTAGTGTCCTATTGCCCATCCTGAAAAGGAGGTGGCAGCCCTCATGCTTCTCCCCAGAGTCAGGGATTCTGTCCCAGTCACAACTGCACCCTTTTCTGCCATCCTGTGTGCTCGTGCACATTTCCCATCATGCCTCTCCCTTTCGTTTCTAGCTCTGCGTTCTGAGCTCACGGTGGCAGCCGCAGTCCTGGTGCTATTGGTGATTGTGATCATCTCACTGATTGTCCTGGTTGTCATTTGGAAACAGGTAGATATTTTTCTCGAAGAACTGAAAATCTTTGAAGTCAGTAAGAATAATGAGAAGAGCAACCTACTTTAGCACTTGGCACAGAGAAGGAGCTCAGTAGTTGTGTGCTGAGTTACTGTTTCCAGCTACTTTGCTGCTGTAGTTAAGCTTTGGTGCATTCGGACTTTGGTAATTCAACAGTTACCTGTCCTGGTCGTTTATAGAAACCAAGGTATGAAATTCGCTGGAGGGTCATTGAATCAATCAGCCCCGATGGACACGAATATATTTATGTGGACCCGATGCAGCTGCCTTATGACTCGAGATGGGAGTTTCCAAGAGACGGACTAGTGCTGGGTAAGCTCCCCCTGGGGTGATCTCCCAAGTCTCCCTTTTGATGTGTCCATAGCTTTGCTCTTTACAGGCCCATGAGGAATGAGGGGTATGAGCTGTGCTCGATAACAGTGAGGCAATAGAAACTGGCCTTCAGAAGTACTTTTTGTCTTAAAAATGAGTTGCTTGGGTCACTACAGTGATTTTTTTTTTAAATCTCATAGCAAATTATGGTTAAAGGACATTTAAAAAATATATTTTTTTATTGATTTCAGAGAGGAAGGGAGAGGGAGAGAGAGATAGAAACATCAATGATGAGAGAGAATCATTGAGTGGCTGCCTCCTGCATTCCCCCTACTGGGGATTGAGCCCACAACCCAAGCATGTGCCCTTGACGTGAATGGAACCTGTGCCGACGCTCTATCCACTGAGCCAAACTGTCTAGGGTTAAAGAACATTTTATAAAATAAATGAATATGAGGAAATCTGCCAAAGATACCCATCAAAATGGTTTTTCTTTAGAAATGACACAAATTGCAAATTAGATGAGTTTCTGTGACTAAAAAGGAACAGATGAAAAATGAATGAGGACCACCACAAAATATATTTTGATCCATTACATTCTGAGGATGTATTAGATATTTCCTTAGAATATATATTTAGAGTATAGAATATGAAACTATAGGTACATTTTAAAGGAAAACATGTAAGAATAATCAAGCTAATTTATCACAGGCTTTTCAAATATTTTAATCTTGGGCTGAGACTAAATACAGTTTAGCTTTGGTGTGTTTGGACTTTGGTAATTCACCAGTTACCCATCCTTATATCCTAATTCACAATTTTGTGCTCTCACCCAGGAGGGTTGCACCCTCCCCTTTCCCATCTGTGTTTTTCTTTCCCTTGCAAATGTTATACTAATTTCCTTCCCTGTGGGTCTAAATACATGAAGCTCTAGTCCAGGGGATTAAAAAAAAATTGCATTCTGAATGAATGAAAACAGGACAAATAAATGAAAGTTAGACCTAGAGTTGTGTCACCAGGAATATTCCAATGTACTTTGGAGGATGTCAAAGTAGTTTTAATTATCCACTTGTCTGATCTCAAAATACAGCAAGGTTAGGTCTTCTTAGAGAATTATTCAACTTGAAATCAAACGAGACATCCTAGCTACTCCCAATTCAAGCACTTAACCTGGGAACTAAGCTTTTTAAACTTATATTTCCCCTTGTTTTATAAAAAGGGACAAGGAGCTGAGGGAATTTAAAGAGTCATAACACAATAGGGTAGAAGGCAACACCACTAATGCGCCCAGGGGCACGTCTGCATCTCTCTGCTCCTGTGGGTCCCCACGCTGCTGGTGCGCAGCGCTCTCCCGAGGTCTCCAGCAGCGCAGACCCGCGGTCACAGGCAGTGTCGGCTGCTGGTGTCCTTCCAGAGCTGAGTCTTAACCAGGCTTGGCTCTGTGTGCGGAGACCACCCACTCTGGGAAGCATCCCTTTTAGACTGTGAGCTCTTTAAGAGTGGGGGCGACAGCTTCCATTTCTTTTTTTTGTGTGTCTCCCAACGTGCAGCAACGGTTCCTGGTCCTCCTGACAAGCAGGCAGCCAGGGGGACAGCCTATAGTTCCCTTCGCCACTCACAGTAGTCAGGGGCATCTTTAATACTGAAGTATTTCCAGTGGGTAAGGACTTACTGATGCAAAAAAGATGCCTCGGTTTGCACGTGGAAAATAGAAGGGCAGAGAACCCAGGGGTTTGGGTAGGAGCCACAGAAAACAAGTGCAATGGAGCCCACGGTCTCGCTCAGCACAGGAGCTGGTAGACAGAGTGCTCCCACCGGGGAGGGCTGCAGCCTCCTTTCTCCCGTCTGTGTTTTCCTTTCCCTTGCAAATGTTACTTGACAAAAGCAATTATACTAATTTCCTTCCCTGTGGGCTGAATTCTGGCCTTGACATGATGACTTGGAGGAATCATTATGCTTACTCTGTGCAGGGAAAACACCACCCAGCTGTGCACCCACGGGCGCTGGCTGTGGTAAATAAAGCTGATGACCGCCTGACGTCTGCGTGTGTTAATGGTTCTGGTTGCCCACAGGTCGTATACTGGGATCTGGTGCGTTTGGGAAGGTTGTTGAAGGAACTGCCTACGGATTAAGCCGGTCCCAACCGGTCATGAAAGTAGCAGTGAAGATGCTTAAACGTAAGTGTCCCTTCCTGGGGATTGTTTTGAACATGGAGATATTAAGTGACCTGCTCCAAATCACAGAACAAGTAAATGCCAAATATAGGACTAGATCTTGGTTCTTGGATTGTAGACTTTATGTGTATTTAGACTCTTTTGTCAATTAGATTTATGTACATTGTTTTTGTTGTCTGTGTGTTGGAAAATCAAGAGTTGTTACTTTTAATGACTTCTTTTTACCCTAAAGCAGGGGTGGGGAATGTCCGGTCGGCTCTCCGGCCGTATAAGGCCCGCAAAATCATTTGGTCCGGCCCTGCCAAGGCATTAGGGCTGAGTTAACGAAATGTTTGATCAAATATAGCGGCTAATTTTTAAGTTGATAATTTGTATGGCCCGCAAATGATGTTTATAAATATCCAAATGGTCCTTGGCAGAAAAACGGTTCCCCACCCCTGCCCTAAAGACTGGGGATCCGGTATTAGAATCTAGACCAACTCTCTTTCTCTTTTAGACTCTTGGTCAACAAAGTAATATCCAAGCACAGGATGAGCCACATTTTTGGCTTTTTCAGGGAAGTATGCTGCTCAGAACTGATAAGTGATGTTTTTCTTCAACAGCCACAGCCAGATCCAGTGAAAAACAAGCCCTCATGTCTGAACTGAAGATAATGACCCACCTGGGGCCGCATTTAAACATTGTCAACCTGTTGGGCGCCTGTACCAAGTCAGGTAGGCTTCCTGGCCTGGGAGGGCGGGTTTTCATAGAACACCGCTGACTGTGAAAGCTATCGAACCCAGCTTTCTAAGCCCACACTCTGTATCTCCAACCATGCCAGCGAATATCAATCCCTTGAATGGAGTGGAGTGGGTTCCACTGAATCGATGAAAGCGCATTGTTTTTGAGCAGCATCTCCTGCCAGTGCAAACATAGCCATTCACGGCTTATCTGTTCTTCATTTTCATACCCATCTCCTAACCATTTTTGGTCCCCACAGGCCCCATTTACATCATCACTGAATACTGCTTTTATGGGGATTTGGTCAACTACTTACATAAGAATAGGGACAGCTTCCTGAGCCACCACCCAGAGAAGCCAAAGAAAGAGCTGGACATCTTTGGATTAAATCCTACCGATGAAAGCACACGGAGGTGAGTTGCTGTGAATCATTGTTTTAGGAGCCTCCAATGGAGAGAACCCATGTCCTGACCGACTCCATGTCTGCAGGCTCTGTGCCCGGAGGTAGCAAGACTTAGAGCCCATCATCCCGTGACACAGTGCCGATAGATACAGGATATCTGCAGGTGTTTGGGATCAGGATGTCATATGGGGAGCCTTGCTGATGGGTTTGAATGAAAGCAAGGAGTTGGAATTGTTCTGGGAGCCATTATCCTGTTTGTATGTGGTCCACTGAACACCTATCAAAGGCAGCACTGGCCAGGGATGCCTCAGGGCTCGCATTTTGAGAGACACTGAGGATTTCAAAGCGTAAGATGCTGGTCCTTGCTGAACCTGGGCCTATAAATCAAACCAATGACTGATCCCCACTGCAGAAACCCATAAGTGGCTATAAAGATCTCTGTAGATATGAAGTTTTGTAACATCAGGAAGTACAATGAGTTCACTTCATATTAAATTACTCGTTGGACACCAAATTGGTGCTAAATTTATTAAGTAGTGGGATTGTCTGCCCAAGCCACATGGTCACCTGTGGTCGGCAAACTGCAGCTCACGAGCCACATGCGGCTCTTTGGCCCCTTGAGTGTGGCTCTTCTTAAGCCTTAGGAGTATCCTAATTAAGTTAATAACAATGTACCTACCTATATAGTTTAAGTTTAAAAAATTTGGCTCTCAAAAGAAATTTCAATCGTTGTACTGTTGATATTTGGCTCTGTTGACTAATGAGTTTACCGGCCACTGGCATAGGCTTATGACCTGTGGAGTGAAAAACAGTATAAAGACAGGCACACCTGAGTTGAGATGGTTTGTGTATTTGTGTGATTATTGATTAATGCTCCTGTCCCCGCCTAGACCTACCCCATGTGGAGGGTGCAGGTGGGTTTGCTTTTACCCTCCCCTGCTGCTCCCATGCCCACCACACTGCCTTGCCGACTGTAGGCACCTGCACATCGATGACTGAATGTTGACTGTTCCACTCTCGAGGGCCTCTGGATAAGGTTTTTTTTTCTGTTTTGACAGTTATGTTGTTTTATCTTTTGAAAACAATGGTGACTACATGGACATGAAGCAAGCTGACACCACACAGTATGTCCCCATGCTGGAAAGGAAAGAGGTTTCTAAATACTCGGACATCCAGAGGTCGCTGTATGACCGCCCAGCCTCATACAAGAAGAAGTCTATGTTAGGTAAAAGTGTCTGTGCTGACTCTTTGGCGTTGTGCTCTTCCAGGGGTTTAATGTGATATTTAAACTACTCGGAAGAAGGTGAGCAGGCCTGGTAAGCAGAACTGCCAGGCCACGTGGTCCTTAAATGTAGGTCTGCACAGCCCAGCCTGTGACATTGGAAAGAAGGAAAAGAATAGACAGACCTAATGTAATGAATTTTCTAGACTTTAAATATAATCATTTAAAGACTGTTTATTCTGATATAATGATCTTTCTTGGTATTAACATGTCTCTCTCTTTCTCTCTCTCTCTCTCTCTCAACATAAGTATGGTGATTTTTTTAAATGCCCTTATTTGGCAAAATTAAAAGCTAGCAATCTTATATTGGTTCCTAATATTATTTAAAAAATTTAATTATATAAGTCTCTGATATCCATGGGTTCAATAGCCCTTGCTTTTAACTTTGCTAATCTCCCATTTGTGATAGAAACTGGAAGGTGGACAGTTTGAGGTTATATTTTTCTGACAAGGGCATTGGGTAGTTCTGCTGAATGTTTGAAGGAAGATCTGTCTCTGTTTCAAAACAGATGGGCACGTGGCAGGGTTGAATTGATTTATAAACTCCAGGGAGCCTAGCCATGCCCAGACCAGATGGACCACCTCACATCTGCTGGGGTGGCCCCTCCAGGGTTCTAGTCTAATCACAGGCAGAGGAGGCTACGAGATGGGTCTGATGTTGACTTGTCCTGGGATCTTGTATTATTGAGTCTGAGCCCTCCCATTGGTCAATGCAAAAAAACACTGAGCTGCTATGGAAATTGTTTTGAAAACCACTAACATGCTCTGAATGCTTTCAGAGTTCTTAAGTGAAAGGTACAATCCATTACGACAAGAATGCGCTCATTTTGCAAAGCTCACTCAGTACACAACGATATTTTCCATTGCTGCAGTTCCAAGTTCCATTCATTCCCCCATTGCCAAATGGGTAAACTTCCAAGCCCTTTTTAAAGATGAGCCAGTGAGGGCTGTCGGAATCAGCGCTTCCTCTCCACTCCTGCATTGTTAAAAATAGTTTACATTGCTTCCCAGGCTGGACCTGGCTCCAGATGTCAGGGGAACCTGATTCATGCTCAGCCCGGGCCCTGTTGGCAGGCAGGCCGCTGCTTCCTGGCCTGCCCCTCGCTGGCTGGAAAAGCGTGAATGGCTGCAGCTACTCTTCACTTGCCTGAACGTTTTCAGAGAGAACTGAGACTGTTGGCCTAGATTGCCTCCTTCCTCGAAAACCCTGGGACCGGTCCAGATGGGACTAACTGGGGAAAGTGGACAAGTTACAAAGGGAATTAAATGCAAAGTCACTGGCACTGATCTTTAAGATTGCTACCTCTAGCCTGACTGGTTGGCTTTATTCACCAAATTAACCAAGTACTATGAAGGTGGCTTTAAAAAGAAAAAAGAAATAAAGCAATTCCTAGAAGATATTTTTCAAAAGGCCCACATGTATATTCATCGTGGAAGATTTTAGTGTGTGTGTTTGTTTTATTGGTGGCTGAGGTGATTTGCTGAGGTTATAAAAAGTTTGGGAGGCAAACAACAAAATATGTGTGAGAACCTATTAGATTGGTTCTCTTATGGAGAGATATATCTCAGATATAATATTTTTAACCAGATATGTGTTGCTGTTGATATATTTGTTTTTAAAGATAGAGCCTTTGCATAGTATTTATTTTTTGTTTTAAATCTACAGTTATATCATTTTAGTCATTAGCCTTAAATATGTAACATATATTTTAATCATGTCTGACTGTATTCATATCTTTAGTCCTGTTAGTCAAGTTCCTAACAGATGTTCACTTCCATCGAAAAGCTCATTCCTAAATTCCAAGGTATTTTGTCTAGAATTTGCATAATTTAGATACCCACCTGTAAGGTCTAGAAACTCTATAAGAAAATCCTTTTATGAGGATATAAAGGACAGCATAGGCAATATAGTCAATAATATTGTAATAACTGCGTATGGTGTCAGATGGGTACTGGCAATATCAGGGGGAACACTTTGTAAAGTACACGATTGTCTAACCACTATGCTGCACATCTGAAATTAATACAAAATAATATTAAATATAAACTGTGATTGAAATTTAAAAAAGAAAACAGAAGAAAAAGAAAATCATTTTACATGTTCTTTGGACAAGCCCGTGGGAGCAGCAGAGGGTGAAGTTTCGTGCCATCTGCCAGCACCAACACTCTCCATTCCTTTTCTGCAGACTCAGAAGTCAAAAACCTCCTTTCGGATGATAACGCAGAAGGCCTGACTTTGTTGGATTTGTTGAGCTTCACCTATCAAGTTGCTCGAGGAATGGAGTTTTTGGCTTCAAAGAATGTAAGTGTGTTCACAGGACAGGGCCTTTTTGGACCCAGGCCGCAGATCTGAGTGAGGTGCGCGGGGAAGATAGGTCTTGGAGAGGCCAGTAGCAATGGCTGCTGCTCTCCTCCCTTCCCCAGAGCAGAGTGGGGAGTCCGATATCACCAGGTGTCTGCTTTTCTCCAGCGCTTTCTTGCTCTTGGGAGCGGTTGGGATGGGAGCCTGGGGGTGAGCTCTTTATGCCAGAACAGCCTCTCCGAGGTACACCAGGCAGCTCCGCGCGCCACCCTGAAACGGCCAGTCTTGCAGGGGTGATGCTGTCTAGGGGCGGATGGGTTGACACCGGCACCATTTCTTCTCTTTCTGTGCAGTGTGTCCACCGGGACCTGGCCGCTCGCAACGTCCTCCTGGCACAAGGGAAAATCGTGAAGATCTGCGACTTTGGCCTGGCCAGAGACATCATGCATGACTCGAACTACGTATCGAAAGGCAGCGTAAGTGCTCTCCCCATCGCCCCATTTGGCATGCTCACCCTCCCTCACTTGCATCTCTGAAATCAGGTGTTGCTTCCAGCCATTTGGGTGCCCATAATTTCAACATGGAGCCTACAAGTCCCATGAAGGGGTCAGGGTTTGTATGAAAAGCACAGGCCCTGCAGCCGACGCCCTGGGTGTGAGCCCCCACTCCAGCACTTACTGGAATCTGGGGCAAGTTAATTGACCGTTCTGTGCCTCGGTTTCCCTGTCTGTAGCAGGGAAGTGACAATAATACCTATCTCCTGGGTTGCTGAGGGGGATTGAATCAGTGAATTCATGTAAAATGCTTAGGACAGTGCCTGGCACATACAAGCACCCAGTAAGTGTTAGTTATTAATGTATACATTGTGCATGCGTGTGTCCATGCATGCAGTTCTAAGGAGAGCATCTCTAACTTTTCTCAAATTTTCAAGTGGCATCTATGACTCCTAAACTGTGAAAACCATTTGGGGTGATATATTTTAGAGGCACAGTTTCCCTAAAGAGAGTCATTCTATCTTACACATGAACCTTTCTGCCCATCCCATGCACCTCTAAGTGGATGGAGTAGCTGGGGACAGATCTGCCACCTGTAGGTACAAATCCAAATCACCCCACCGCACTGGTTGTGAGGCTGCTCACGGGGCTGCTGCATCCACCTGGAGGACACAGCTCTGTCCAGGCTCTGCATGTTATGTGCACTCTGTGATCATGACCTGTAGCTTCAGGCCCCTTGACAGAAACCAGTGGACTTTGGTGGAGTCAAGGTCTGTTCAAGAAGGTTATGAGTCTGTTATCTCCCCGGTGATTTTAGAGGGCTGAAGGATGCTAGTGTGGCTACTTGGTACATCTGCCCAGTTTGGTATTTACACAGAAGGTTGGACAACCTCACAAAAGAGGCTGCAAAATTATCATTGTGTCAGACTCTTTGTAGTGTTTCTTCAAGTTCAAAAATGTACTTGGCTCTCAGATCACTGGGTCTATTCTTAATTTTGTTCCTAGGAACACTTGAAAATAGGGGACAGGTCCATTCAGGGCTCACACTTTTGGTGTAAAAATTCAGGATTAAATATTTTTGGATGTTATTCTTTGGAAGGACGTAAGAGGCCAAACTGACCTCCCATCATTTGTCAAATTTTTATTGAGCGCCCACCAGGTGCCAGGAACTCTTCTGAGTGCCGGGAGTACAGCAGCGAATCGCACACACAGAGGACGCTCATGTGGGCCAATGTTATTAGTGCAAGTTATTCTAAGCCCAATAGAAAGAGAACCTTTTCCTATTTCTGCTGCTGTAGATATCGGTGCACACGCTGGGGTTAATATCCTTCCTCCTTCCCTGCAGACCTTCCTCCCTGTGAAGTGGATGGCTCCTGAGAGCATCTTCGACAACCTCTACACCACGCTGAGCGACGTCTGGTCTTACGGCATTCTGCTCTGGGAGATCTTTTCCCTGGGTATGTGCCTGACATCTCTATTTGTTTGGGCTGTTCTAGAACAACACTGGAGGGGAAACGCTGTGTCTCTCCAGGCTCTGGGATGTAATCACTGTTAAGACACCTGGTGTGAGTCAAGCGCACTGCAGCCGATTTAGATGGCACATTGTGCACGTGTGACGTCTGGGGTGTGCCCGTGCAGGGTGAGATGGTGGTCTTGGGAAGCTGTGCCCTCACCCCTGGCCTTTCCCCCTCCTCTTCTTTGGGCTACTGCAGAGTGACTTTCTCCCAGTGGGAATGCTCCTGATGACACCCACTCATCAGCTGCTTTTTCACTTTGGGCTTTGGGTTAAGTGGGTTCACCGGCGGAGAGTTGTCACTCCCTCACGTCATGGTGCTAGATGCTCGCAAGGACAAGGGCGTGGCTCCCCTTCCTGGTCATCGCTGTGGAGGAGAGAAACCTAGTTGCTTGGTCAGGCAGTCAGTCACCACCTGCTGAACAACACTGGTGCCCCCTGTGCCAGGTGAGGGCTCTAAGAGAGGGATGATTCACCACCTTGACCTCCAGACAGCTCATCCAGCCAAGACTCACACACTTAGTGATGAACTGTTGGGTCCTGATTTAAAATCCTACAGGAAGTCCCGAGAAAGGAGCAAGGAGCCCTAGGGTGGTCTTAGAAGGCTTTAGAGAGGAGACTAAACTTGACCTGGCCTTGGCCATAAACATGTGAATTTACTGTTACTCTGCTATGATAGCACTGGCCCCCTTTTTCTTAGTTCTCCCTCCCTGGATGCGATGCCACTGTGGATCATCCCAGTGTGCGTAGTCTGTTAAAAACAGAGAATTATCTCAGTATTTCAAGGCTCAATTTTGACTTTTGCTTTCATTTTTTTGAACATTTCTGGTGGAAATGACTCATTGTGGCCTTCATGATTCTTTTGCTTTTCTATTTTGCTTTGTATGTATAGATCCAGTAGTCAGAACCATTGAAAAGCACTTTTGAGCTTTTTTTAAGAGACATAGAATTTTTGCCTAGGGGTTCTGGACTTGACCAACCTAGAAGTCTTGCTAAAATTTAAGATTTGGGCAGGGAGATAACACTTCATTTTCTTGGTAGAACCAGCACTTAACGGTGGGGAATCCCCAAATGTTTTCTAAAGCTGCTGTATCATCCCAACTGTTTCAAAAACATACCACACACTTGTTAATTCTGGTTGCTTTCCTTTTTGGCTTTCAGGTGGCACACCCTACCCTGGCATGATGGTTGATTCTACTTTCTACAATAAGATCAAGAGTGGGTACCGGATGGCCAAGCCTGACCATGCCACCAGTGAAATGTGAGCCTGTCCCCATCCCGTGGGCCTTGTGTTCATGCCCAGTGGGCCTGTGTGTGTGTGTGTGTGTGTGTGTGTGTGAGGGGGGAGGGGTACCTGCTGCTCCTCCCTATGCTCATGATGTGTTCTGTGCTCCTCCAGCTACGAGATCATGGTGAAGTGCTGGAACAGTGAGCCGGAGAAGAGACCCTCCTTTTACCACCTGAGAGAGATTGTGGAGAACCTGCTGCCTGGACAGTATAAAAAGGTTTGTCTGTGGGACGCCATGGATGCACCTAGAGGGTACTATGCTAAGTGAAATAAGTAAGACAGAGAAAGACAAATGGCGTATGTTTCACTTGTATGTGAAATTACACAACAACAACAAAATAAACAAACAAAAACAGAAGTAAACTCATAGATTCAGAAAACATTTTGATGGTTGCCAGTTGAAGGACTGGGTAGAAAAGGGGAAGGGATTAAGGTGTGCAAATTACCAGATATAAAAACAGTCACAGGGATGTAGAGTACAGGATAGGGAATTTTGTAATAACTAGGTATGGTGTCACAGGGGTGCTAGCCTTATTGGGTTGATCAGTTTATAAGTTATATAAATGTCTAATCACTATGTTGCGTACCTGAAGCTCATGTAACATTGTATGTCAGCTGTAATTGAAAAAGAAAAAATTATTTTAAAATTGAAAGGTTTGTCTGGGCCCCTTAGGATGAGTGGAAAGGAATGAGCAAAGGGAAAAGACAAACGCTGGTAGTGAGTGAGCGAGCAGCACTGTTCCACACTGTTTTAAGGGAACATTTCAAAGGAGGAGAAAGATTATGTGATCCAGTGGCCGGGGTTTTATGGTGCTCCCCAGGGCCCTGGTTGCCATGGTGAATGAAAACCCTCCTCTTCCTGCAGGGCTCCCCTTTCATCTTACGGGTGCAACACCTGTAAGCACTTCACTCTCCAGATGTTTGGGTATCTGAAGCTACTGTGCAGTTAGTCTCAGGGCATCCACAGCCATTAAGTGCTAATTTGAATGCACTGAAATCCATGCAAAATTGGCTTTTGCCAGCTGACTGGAAGGAACAACCTCAGCTGTTATCTGTGGCTCCAGCTGGTTTTTGTGTGGAATAGGAAACATTGTTCAAAGGAACAAATGTAATTTCATGGAACCAAGCAGGTTATGTTAATGAATGAAACAACCTTCTGCTGAGATGCTGAGAAGGAAACCCAGACACACATGTAAAATAAACTGGATTTCTTAGATTCAGATTAGTCACCATATCGACTTTCCATACTTTTTTGCTTCTTTCTTCTTCTCAAGGAGGGATAGTGATAGGAGGCTGCATACTGACCTGGAAATGAAATACTTTTGTCTACTGATTTATCTCACTGCCCATGGCAAGTCCCCTAAGTGAGGCACTGGGGAACCAGAAGGGAATTCATTATAGGTCAAAGACGCTCCGGTTGGTAAAGATATGTTGGTGGAAATAGACTGGAACTAGTGTTGAAATAAGGATGTTTTTAGATCTAAGTTCCTAAGTTTTGAGTTAGATTTCTTCAGTGATTAGGGGTGGCTTCAGGGATGGCGCTCCCTGTGGAAGTCCTTGTCACCTCTAATCAGGACCCATTCAAGCCGTGGAGAGAGTAAGGATGTGATGAGGCTAGAGAGTCCATGCTAGTCCCAGAGAGGGGTGTTTGTGGGGACGGACACAGTCACAGCTACTCACTCAGACAGGGGGCTTTCAGACCTGCCAGCAGGAGATTTCTGCCATTGGTGGCCCTTTATTTTCCCTTAAATTTTTTCAATTACAGTTGACATTCAGTATTATTTTATATTAGTTTCAGGTGTATATCATAGTGGTTAGACCAGTGGTCGGCAAACCGCGGCTGGCGAGCCACATGCGGCTCTTTGGCCCCGTGGCATGGCCACGAAGTTTCAATCGCACTGTACGTGCGCGCCCGCACGTGGTATTTTGTGGAAGAGCCACACTCAAGGGGCCAGTTTGCTGACCACTGGATTAGACATTTATATAATTTATGAGATGATCCCTCCGTAAGCCTAGTACCCACCTGGCACCATACATAGTTATTACACTGACTGTTTCCCCTATTCTGTACTTCACATCCCCAGGACTATTTTGTAACTGCCAATTTGTACTTCACCTTTTGTTCTATCTATGAGTCTGTTTTGCTTGTTCATTTATTTGTTCTTTACATTCCACATATAAGTGAAGTCATATGGCATCTGTCTTTTTCTGTTTGACTTATTTCACTTAACATAATACCCTCTAGGTTCACCCATGCTGTCACAAATGGAAAGATTTCATTCTTTTTTTATGGCCAAGTAATAATCTCTCTCTCTCTCTATATATATATATCTCATGTTTATCCAATTGTTGAGGGGCACTTAGGTTGCTTCCATATCTTGGCTATTGAAAATAATGCTGGTTCCATAGCCCTGAAACTAAGTCTGTGTTAGTGTGTGGGCCTTTTAAGAGGAACCTGGGTTTCTAACAGCCTTCCATCTCGCCCAGATAAACGGAATCCCTGCTGATTTTCACGCTGGATGTTATGGGGGCTCCTTTTCCCAGCACTGATGCTCTGGGCTGGGGAGCCCAGGGTTGGACTGGGACCCCTTTCTTCTCAGGGGGGTCCTCCACAGCAGAGATATCCCTCCTGCTTTGTAACCACCATGCATGGGTGTGAGGCCAGCCTGTTTCATATCTGTGCCCTTCCTACACGGCTTCTTCCTTGTATCCTTAGTTATAGGACCTCTTTCCAGCTGGTCTTCAGATGTTTCTCCAGGTTGATTGTTCTATAATTTAGTTGTAATTTTGATGTGGTCATGAGAGGTGGTGGCCCTTTTTTCATGCCCCTCATCTCTGGGGACAGTTGACACTTGACTCTCCTTCAGTTGTCTAAATCCCACATCTGTAAGGTAATTTGGAAATATGGACAGTTAAAATGAATAAATACATATCTGCAGTTTGGTCAGTAACGCCCGAGTAACGATGTGAAATGAATGTTTGCAGAGTTATGAAAAGATTCACCTGGATTTCCTGAAGAGCGACCATCCTGCTGTGGCGCGCATGCGAGTGGATGCTGACAACGCCTACATTGGCGTCACCTACAAAAACGAGGAGGACAAGCTGAAGGACTGGGAGGGTGGCCTGGACGAGCAGAGGCTGAGCGCTGACAGCGGCTACATCATCCCTCTGCCTGACATCGACCCCATTCCTGAGGAGGAAGACCTGGGCAAGAGGAACAGACACAGGTAGATGTGGGTGTGGCCTCAGCTTCCAGCAGCGCTCCCCCTGCCCCTGTCCCTGCCCCAGCCCCTGCCCCTGCCCCTGCCCCAGCCCCAGCCCCTGCCCCTGCCCCTGCCCCTGCCCCTGCCCCTGCCCCTGTCCCTGCCCCTGTCCCTGCCCCAGCCCCAGCCCCAGCCCCAGCCCCTGCCCCTGCCCCTGCCCCAGCACACCTGAAGACAGGAGCTGTTGCCCAGATGATCAGGCTCCCGGTGGTGAATTTGTTTTAGGGGATCCAGGGGTATAGAACCCCCAGTTTTGAAAACACTTCCATTAGATCCTAATATGTGCCCCCTGGGGCTGGGGGAGGTGTAGGGCAGGGAAGGATGTGCTTCCCTGGTGGAGAATCTTTGACCTAAATCCTTAATTTGATCAAATTTACACAGCAACTGAGATTATTGAGATGCTATAGGCCTCTTTTGCTGTTTCCTTAATTAGTCACCCAGAAAGGCGAGAGAGAGGCTAGACTGGGCTATTTGACGCCACATCAGTGCTTTATAACTCTAGCTGCAAGTTGGAATCACCTGGGGAGATTTTTAAAAGTACTGATATACAAGCCTCACCCAGACCAAAGACTTAGAGTCTCTGGGAGTGGGGCTCAAGCGTGCTCTGGCTGGTTTGTGTTTTCTTTTTAACTTTGTATTATGGAAGAGTTCTAACATGCACAATTCAAGCAGTATTGTGAACTGTCAGGTATCCATCACTTCCCTTCAGTGTTTATGACCTCATGGCCAGTCTGCATGCCTGGCTGTATCTATTCCTCCACCTCTGCCCCCTCTGGAGTATTTTGAAGCACATCCTAGACATCATATCATTTCGTCCACAAATATTTCAGTATGTATTTCTAAATGGTAAAGGCTCTATCTCTAAAAATAACTATAGTTATTAAAATAACTCTAATATCATTATCTCACCCCCCAAATTGACAATAAATTAATATCAAGTTAGTATTCCCATTTCTTTGATCTCCTCACAAATATTTTTTTTAAATATTTTTATTGATTTCAGAGAGGAAGGGAGAAGGAGAGAGAGAGAGAGAGAAACATCAATGACGAGAGAGAATCACAGATTGGCTGCCCCCCGCAAGCTCCCCACTGGGGATCGAGCCCACAACCCATGTGCCCCGGCCGGAATTGAACCTGGGACCCCTCAGTCCACAGGCTGACGCTCCATCCACAGAGCCAAACCAGCTAGGGCCACAAATATTATTTTACATTTGTTTTGTTTTATTCAAGACCCAAATAGGAGTCACACAGTGGATATGTCTCTAAGTTTGTTGACATGTCTCTAAGTTTGTCCTGCCTCTCTTTGCCCCTAACATGTTATTTGTGAAGAAACCAGAGATTTGCCTGTAGAATTCTCACATTCAAAATGTTGCTGATTGCATCCTGAGGTGTATTTTACCATGTGCTTCTGCCTCATATTTCTGTTGTAAACTGGTAGCTCGTCTTGAGACTTGATCTAACTCAGGTTAGATTTTAAAGTGAGTATACTTCAGAGAAGGTGCTGTGTACTTCTGTTGGGAGGTGCCTACTATCCAGATGTCCCCTTTTGTGACACTAGCAGCCATTGGTGAACCTTCCCTAGACCCATTACTTTACTACCAAGATGATGCAAATGCACAGCCAGGACTAGAACTGTTGGTTTACACGGCCCAGGTGGAATGCCCCAACCATGCTCTCTCTGCACAGCCTTTGAGCAGAGGCAGGAGAAGGTGACAGTGGCCCCTTGTTCAAGGTCCAAGTTGCTATGGGTCTCCTTTTTCCCCCTCTTTCTTCTCAATATTGTCCCTTCTTCCTCATTCAGTTGACTACATACAATTACTGAAGCACAGGCATTATTATCTGGGAGGCTTATGATTGTGACCGCTCTCAGCCAACTGAGGTATAAGGTCTAGACAGCCCTTGTTTATTTGCATGCACCAGGTAGTTTTAAAAGAACTTTTTAAAAAATTTATTTTGGAATGTGTGGTTTAGATGAGATTTAGAGATGGGGCAAAGTGGTCTGATTTACTGTTCTAATTGTCCTTTGCTCAGGACAAAATGTGTTTACATTCCTTTAGCAAGCAGTATTTGTGCAAGTTTTGGGGATCTGTGGTAGAACTCTCAGGCGTGGGGGAAGCTGAGCAGTGGGCCTCGGCACACTCCCAGAGGTTCAATGAGACTCTGGTCCTGACAGGTGGGCTAAGCATGGTGTCAGCTCAGGTGGCCATAACACAGTACCACAGACTGGGGGCTGAAACAACAGAAATTTATTTTCTCGCTGTTCTGGAGGCTGGAAGTTTAAGATCAAAGTATTGACAGGCGTGGTTTCTCCTGAGGCCTCTCACCTTGGATCGCACATGGCCACCTTCTTGTGTCTTTTTCTTCCTTTCTTTCTTTTTTTTTAAATCTCACTTGAGGATATTTTTTGCCATTGCTTTTCAGAGAGAGTGGAAGGGCAGGGGGGATAGAGAGAGAAACATCAATGCAAGAGAGACACATTGACAGGTTGCCTCCCACATACACCCTGACCGGGGGCAGGGAGAGAACCCACAACCCAGGTATGTGCCCTTGACCAGGAATTGAACCCGAGACCCTGTGGTGCACGAGTCGATGCTCCAACCACTGAGCACATTGGCCAGGGCTGCTTGTGTCTTTTTCTGGGTGCAAGTACCACTGGTGTCTTGTCCTCTTCTTATAAGAACACTAGTTCTATTGGATTAAGGCCTTACTTTCATAACCTCATTTAACTTTAACTAACTCTTTAAAGGTTATATCTCCCAGTACAGTCATATTAAGATTTCAAATTCAACATATGAATGGGGAGGAGGGGGGTACAATTCATAGAGAGGAGATCCCCGAGCTGGGGCACTCTGGGTTTAGGCAGGCAGAGTCAGCGTGGTGTCCTGAGGAACCTTCTCCTCAGGCTCAGGATGCTTGGCCTCAGGAGGGGAGAGGGCAGGAGGAAGACAGGCCTTGCTGTAGAGACTTCAGGAATCCTGGTCAGAGCCTGTCGGGAGCCAGGTCCTGGGCTGTAAGACGGGCACTGTGGCTCGGGAGCCAGGTGTAATCCCAGTCATCAGCTCTAGGACCCCCGTGAAGCCTGGGGAGCAGCAGGGATGGTCTGGTGCTGAGTTTCTGTGGGAGCTCGCTTCTGTGCCCACACTTCTGCCTTCTCTCTGGGAGATGGCCTGTCAGAGAGAGGAGCATGGCAGGCCCAGGAGGGCCAGTTCCAGGGAGACAGACTCTCTGTGGAACTTGCCCCCAAGGAGGGGGCCAGCCGTCCAAATCACAGCATCCAAGAAAGTGTCATAAATGCACGCCCCAGCCGAGCTGGGTCAGTAGCCAAGGGGTGATTCAGGCCCCTAGTCATTGGCAAGGCCCAGGAACACTCCGGCCTGCCAGGGGAGAGGGGATGTCAGGACTAGATGGTCAGCCAAGTGGACTGGGGTTCCCAGTGAGGTTCCAGGACCAGGGTGTAAGTGGGGGCGTGGGGTGGAATATAAAGTAGTCGCCGAGGCAAAAGCTCACCATAGGAAAGGGCCCGATCTGTGGGGCTGTGAAGGGAAACTTCAGTCCAGTAGCCACATTGGTTTTAAGTGCTCGCCAGGCCACAGGGGCCTTGGGGTGCAGGACAGCAAACCGTTCCCCAGAGGTTTCTACTGGGCCAGGCTCGGTTTTCTGCTTGGAAATGATATGGAGAGGGGTCGGGGGGACAGAGGCTGAGGAATCAGGCTGGGCTGACAGGCAGGAAACAGCTGACCGGGCTGAGCCCCTCTGTGGTGTACGTGAGCCTCCTCCTTCTGGCTGACCAGCCTATAGTGTGGTTTAGATGCTGTGTATACAGCGTGGTGCTGCTGCCACACAGTGAGGAGAAGAGACCATTCCTGCCTGTCAGCAGGTGGTAATCTGCTTTAGCAAACAAGGCAGGACATTTAGCAAACAAGGCAGGAGAACCAAAATACTAAGAGTTCAGAGAAGGAAGGACAGACAGGGAATCATGACAGGCTGATTTAGGGAAGATTATTTTCCAAAAATTTTGTGAAAAATTTTAAATGTCCAGAAAAATTGAGAGAATACATTTCCTACTTAGATTTAGCAGTTGTCAACACTTTGCCACATTGCTTGCTCTATCTATCTATCTATCTATCTATCTATCTATCTATCATCTATTTATCTATCTATCTATCTATCTATCTATCATCTATCTATCTAATAGGTGTGTGTTTCACGTGCATATATACTCATACTTTTTTATTCTTGCAAAATCGTTTAAAACCAAATTGTTTGAAACTCTAGCACACATCCCTTCAGAATAAGGATTCTCTCCTACATAACCACAATCGCATGATTACCCATAAGAAAATTAAACTATTTCCTGATATCATCTAATATCTAGGCCCTATTCAAATTCAGGTGAGGGTTTGAATACTAGCAATAATAATAACAGCTAACATTTATTGAGCACCTATTACGTTCTAGGCACTGGGCTCAGTGCTTTATGGTTATTACCTCATTTAATCACCCTAACAAACAGGAATATTGTCAGGCACAATTGTCATCCCATTTTAGTCAAGGGAACAAGTTCAGGGGCTTAAGTGACTCGTGAAGTCCCATAGCTACTAAGTGGTGGACCATTCCAGACCTGAGACTTTCTGCCTCTAGAATGTCCCCTCGATGCCTCTACTCTAGTAAGTAAAGAGCCTTCACCTGGCCTTCAAGAGGAGGGGAAGGAAGGCATTCCAGGCCAGTGGGGTGACATCCTGAGAACACAGTTTGCACATTCAGGAGGTTTCAGGAGAGCAAGGGACTGGCCTGGCTGTAGTTTGCCCCTGATTCCATCCCTCTGCATTTCCTTCCCCGCGCCCTTTGACCAGGCATTGCTTATTTTCTCTTCCAGGAGGATTGAGCTAGGAAAGTAGACATTGTCTTAGCTTATTAGCAACTTTGATGAAAGATTTAGCAGGAGAGAAGGAAAGCTGGTGTGGAGATGACCCGCGGACCTTGATTTTCCAGGTGGCCACTGCAGTGTGATGGGTGATGAGTAGCTGCCTGGCTTGGTGGTAGAATCTTGCCCAACTGGGTAGCCCAAGTTTGAATGCAAAGGGTCTTGCAGGAAGAGCTCCTTTGCCTTTGGGGGCCACCCTAGAAACGCCACCATGGTCAGGTTGGGCTGTACGTGGCCGTAACCTTTCCTCTTTTTTCTCCCCAGCTCGCAGACCTCTGAAGAGAGTGCCATTGAGACAGGTTCCAGCAGCTCCACCTTCATCAAGAGAGAGGACGAGACCATTGAGGACATCGACATGATGGATGACATTGGCATAGACTCCTCAGACCTGGTGGAGGACAGCTTCCTTTAACTTGCGGATTCGAGGGGTACCTTCCACTCCCGGAGCCACCGTGGATCCTATTGAGAAAACCACTTTATTGCAATGCAAAGTTTGAGAGGAGGACTCGGATGATGTGTAAAGAGAAGCTCCCAGCCCAGGGCCTCCGGGAGCCCTCTACGTGTGAGTGAATGGGATATTTTGAAATGAACTTCTTCAGCGTTGCCTCTTGCAATGCTTCAGTAGCATCTCAGCGTGTGAAGTTTGGAGGTAGTTGGACAAGGAAATAATGGACCACACAAGACGAACTTTGTGTTTCAAGGCATTGGTGAGATTCCAACATACACAAGTTTTGTTGCAACAAAACTCCAGCATTGTAATTATGTAAATAACTCTAACCAAGGATGTGTTTAGTTTTGTATTAACTGTCTGCTCTGGACCTCTGAAGAGACCGACCACTCAACCCATCCATGTACTTCCTGTTTGAAACCTGGTATCAGCTGCTGTTGAACTTTCTAATGAAGTACATGCAAAACCACTTTTGAACCTTAAAAGGTACTGGTACTATAGCATTTTACTTTGTGTTTTTTTTTTAGTGTTAAAGAGATAAAGGCTAATGATTAACCAACCTTGTTTAATAGATTTGGGTCATTTAGAAGCCCAACATCTCATTTTTATATTGTAATCTATGTTTATAATAATACTACTGTTATCAGTAATGCTAAATGTGTAATATGTAACACGTCTTCCCTACAAAGAAAGCACAATTTTTTAAAAAAATCCTTACTAAGTAGGTTGACAGTTTTTGACATTTATATTAAATAACATATGTTTCTCTATAAAATATGGTAATAGCTTTAGTGGATTAAATTTAGTTGAACATAGAGAACAAAATAAAAGTAGTGTCTTCCAGGAAGTCAGAGTTTTTACCTACGTACTGAACAGGTCCCCTAACCCGTTGTACTAAAAACAATTAACTACCCTCAGAAGTGATGGGATTGGAAACAAATAAGCAAAACCCTTGAATCCTAAATATCCTCGATATAAAGGCATAAGCCTATGACTAACATGACTTCTTATGGAAAATACAATCATCAGCAAAAAGATGGCATTTGCCGAGACTTTACTCATGCCTGGTGATAACTTTGGTGGATCCCAACGTATATGTTTTTAAAATTCTACAGACCCTAAAAGAGGCAGAAGAATATCCTGAATATGAGCCCTTTTTCTTCTTCTCTTACCCCGAGGAGAAATAGTTTGAAACTCTGAGCCCATAAAGGCATTGCTTAGTGAAGGCTGTGTGTGCCTTCATCTGGATCTTTGGTTCCCAAACGGAACTGGCAACCAGAATCCCCTGATGGTAAGTCCTCGTCCCAGAGATTCTGAATGACTAGATCTTGGGGGAGCAGAAACCTGTATTTTTATAAACACCCTGGCTGTTCTGATCAGCCGGGTCTGGAAAATACCAGCGTAGGTTACAGGAAACAGCCATGGGAAAAAAATAATTTGAAATTAGGAACTGGGCTGCTGTTGAAATCTTTGGCTTCGGGTCAGTGCCACTTAATGCCACATAGCTAGCAATCGCTATCCTTAATTTAACTTTTCAGTCTTTGCTGAGGCTGACCGTGCTAAATCTTGGTTGGCAGGTCTTCTAAAAGTAAAGGCACTGCTGCCCACAGCATGGGGGAGCTGAACTCCCCCTTCCCTCAGCCCCAAAATGCATGTACAAAAACGATGTGCCAAGTCTCTAGAACCAGGCCAATATTTTGGTGAAAAAAAGAAAAGTTTTTTCTGATATTTTGGGGTTAGATGGGAGGACAAATTGTCACATCAATCCAAACTGTCAAACTGGTTGGCGTGGGTTCATTGGCATTCTTTGCAATGCCGCTTAATCTCTGCCACCATATGAATGAAACATGGGCTGTGATTACTGCAATCACTGCGTACGCTCCTGACAGGTGATGCTTTGAAAGATGTAAAAGCAATAACAAGGTACTTGACTACCTACTGGTGTAATCTCAGTGCAAGCTCAACTTTCTTACCCACCTTTTTCATAGCGTGAAGACTGAGCCAGATTGGCCAATTAAAAAGCAAACCTAACTAGGTCCTGTAGAGCCAATTAGACTTGAAATACATTTGTATTTCTAGAATCACAGCTCAAGCATTCTGTTTATCACTCGCTCTCCCGTGTGTAGACTTCTTTTGTTGCTACTTTGCATTTTGATATTCCGTTGAGTCTTGCGTGACATCATCAGGCTGGAGAAGATTTTCAGACCAGCAGGTTCCAGTCCTAACAAATGCTCCCCCCAGAGTTTGTGTGTCATTGCATTTTGTTGTTGTTTTTGTTTTGTAAAAAAACAGCGTTTTCAGTGTATCACAGATTTGTTTCCTTTATGGCCTACTGCAAAGTCCCCAGATGAAAATTTGCCAATCATTCCTGCTTTCTGTTTTTATGAAGACAATCAAAGCTGGCCTGAGAAACAAAATTTGTGACTTTTAAAATGATCTATGATGTCCTTAAAATGTGGTCTGCCAACCTGTAACAAAATGGTCCTATTTTTGTGAAGAGGGACGTAAGATACAATGATGTTATACATCAATATGTATATATGTATTTCTATATAGACTTGGAGAATACTGCCAAAACATTTATGACAAGCTGTATCACTGCCTTTGTTTATATTTTTTTAACTGTGATATTCCCCACAGGCACATTAACTGTTGCACTTTTGAATGTCCAAAATTTATATTTTAGAAATAATAAAGAGAAAAATACGTAAGTGTTCCCGAAACAGTGGTGTGGTGAATGTGTGAGAAGAACTAACTCGATAGGAAGGGTCTACCGGTGCAAAATGTATTGCAAGTCCCCGTTCATGTTTTTGTTTTTAAACATGTAAATGAAGATCTTTATATTTCAATAAATGAGATATATATATAATTTAAAGTTATGCTAAGGTTCCAACATTTTTGTCTTTAGTTTAATCATATAAATTAAAGCAATCCTATTCAATTTATTTTCTTAGCAACATTTCAGCAGGACTCTGTATTGTGGTTTTGATGAAACCAATAGAAAATTTAAGATGTAAACATTATTTAAGCTAGTCAGTTCTCAGACTCAGCATTTGACTTAAAGATGATTGGCACTTGGCTAATCTTTGAGCCTATTTGTTTTAAATATATTTTTATTGATTTCAGAGAGGATGGGAGAGAGAAAGAGAGAGATAGAACATCAATGATGAGAGAGAATCATTGATTGGCTGCCTCCTGCACACCCCCTACTAGGGATCAAGCCCGCAACCCGGGCTTGTGCCCTTGACCGGAATCAAACCCGGGACCCTTCAGTCTGCAGGCCAATGCTCTATCCACTGAGCAAAACCGACTAGGGCCTTTGAGCCTATTTTTGTTTGTTTATTTGTTATAATAGCATATTATTGTTTTTAAATTTTTTATTTTTATTTTTCAATTACAGTTTACTGTCTATTATTTTGTATTGATTTCAGGTGTACAGCATAGTAGTTAGACAATCATATACCTTTTAAAAAATATATATTTTTATTGACTTCAGAGAGAAAGGGAGAGGGAGAGAAAGAAACATCAGCGATAAGAGGGAATCATTGGTCCACCGCCTCCTCATGCCCTCCACTGGGGATCGAGCCCGAAACCTGGGCATGTGCCCTGACAGGGAATCGAACCGTGACCTCCAGGTTCACAGGTTGACATTCAACCACTGAGCCATGCCGGCCAGGTGACAATCATATACTTTAAAAGTGTCCCCGCTGATATTTCCAGTACCCATCGGGCACCATGCATACTTATTACGATATTATTGACTATATTCTCTATGCTATGCTTTACATCCCATGACTATTTTGTGACTACCAATTTGTACTTCTCAATTTTTTCACCTCTTTCACCCAGTCCCCTAACCCCCTCCCCTGTGGCAACCACCAGTCTGCTGTGTGTATAATAGCATATTATTGTGTGATGTTTTCCTGGGCAATATGAAGAGTACAGGACTGCATTTACTCTGGACAGCATTCAAACATTACAAAGGCATCAAGTACAAAGTTAAAGTTTTTTCCACCACATCTTCTTCCCTGTCCCATCTCCCAGAGGCAGGACTGCGTCACTCGGTGAGTGTTTTTGTATCCGTGCAGTCCCCTTTTTGTGCATCTGCTGATACACATACCCACGCATACCCCAGAGATATTGGGGGTTCCGTTCCAAACCACCACAATAAAGTGAGTCATAATTTTTTTTTTTTTTTTTTTTGCTGGTGTAAGGTCTTTCCTTTAATTTGTAAAACACACAACAGCTGTGAAGTATAATAAAGCTATTTTTGCTTTATATTTAACCTAGAAGGGATTGTACTTTAGATAATGCTTTGTGATATGCTTTTCTCTTTTTCTCTTCTTTTTAAAGATAGACTATTTTTTAGAGCAGTTTAAGATTCACAACAAAATTGAGAGGAAGGCACAGCCCCTGCCCTCCACACATGCACAGCCTCCCCATTCTCACTATCCCCCACAGAGGGGCACATTTGCTACAATTGATAACACATCATTATCACCAGAGTCCACAGTGCTTTGTATTTTAAATGCTATATTTAAAGATCTCTGTGAAAAGTATGTGTGTGTGTGCATGTGTGTGTATAATTTCCCTCATTTTTATCCACTGCATAGTATCCCACTGTGTAAATATGCTATAATTTATGCCCTCATGTTCCTATTAAATGCATTTATATTTTCCAGTTCTTTGCTATTAAAGTGCACATGGAGTAGTGCTTTTTGAAAATATATTTTTATTGATTTCAGAGAGGAAGGGAAGGGGGAGAGATATAGAAACATCAATGATGAGAGAGAATCATTGATTGGTCGCCTCCTACAGTGGGGATTGAACCTGCAACCCAGAATCAAACTGTGAATCCTGGTTCATTGATTGACATTCAACCACTGAGCCACACCAGCTGGGTTGGAGTAGTGTTTTGTTAGGATAGTTTCCTAGAAATAAAATCACGAGGCCCAAGGGTGTGCACAAGTCAATTATTACTGAGCACAAGTCTTCCGATGTGACTGGTGCAGTAAATGTTGTCGGTCTGCACGGGAGTCACCTGCTCTGCAGCTCACCGGCAGCTCTAGGCTTTGCCTGCCTCACACTGCTCACCGGGATGTGGCATGTGCCGGAGCGTGTGGGTTTTTGCATTCTGAAGCATGCCGAATCAAAGGACTTTAGGATTTTTTTTTTAAATAAAACAACTCACCCTTTCAACAACTGGATATTGGAAATAGGTTATCTATAATAATAAAAGGGTAATATGCAAATCAACTGAACGGCTGAAAAGCGGAACAACCATCCAGACAACCTTCCAGATGACCTTCCGGACGTATTTCATGCATCGGGCTCTAGTGTTGTTAATAATTGGAATGTAACACCCTCTTCCAACCTAACTCCTGTTACCCAGGTTCAAGTAGCCTGTATTCAAGCGCACCTCCTTGGAGTTAAAGCTGGAAGGAGGGTACTGGTGGGATACTGGCTTGGCCTCATTATTATTATTAAAGATTTGCCGCATTATCCTGGGAAGAAGACAGATCATCCTGCTGCTTAAACAATAGCGGCCTAATCTAGCATCAAATCTGTGCTCCACCCCTGGGGAGAGATCTTTTTGTTCTTCTTTTTAAAGTATAATTTTACCTCAATATGATGTGGATGATCCTGCCTCCTTTATCTCATCATGATAATAAAAAGTGACTTTTACCTTGGGAGGGTTTTAAAGCTTTTTCGAAGATACTTTTCACATGGACTTATTTTGATTCTTACAATAGCGCTTTGAAGCCGGGAAGATATTTATAAATGAAACCAAGTGATATCTGAAAAGCATCCGACTGACTAATGAGGGCAGTGGGATCAGAAATGCCAAACAGTGCTCTTTATGTATGAGGCTAAGCCATGCAGAAGCAAGAGCCAGTGGGAGATGTCAGTGCTCCGAAATAGGTTGCTTTGCTTCTTGAGATATTTCAAGAGACAAGTGATGGACTAGCTGGCTTGTAGAACTATTTTATGCATTTGTTATAAGGACAGTTTCTTTGCAGGCTATACCACAACAGTTCTAATAATGGACATTATGATTTTAATAGTTATAATGTGCTTCGTAAAATGCAGTTCAGGAAGATGGCTTGAATCCTGGAATCCATCATAAGCCAGGCAGTTTTCCCCGGGATAACAGAGCGATAGAAATGCTTCATTATCTCAGGCTCCAAATACATATCAGAACGAAAAGGAACCACATTGTTACAGTGAAATTAATATACTATGTTTATAACAGACACAATCCCCCCCCGCAATTAAAATATATATGAAAATACATATGTGGCCTTAATTAGCAGATTGTAACATTCTGTTCCACCTGGTTACATAACCAGCACCCGTGTCCTAAAGAATAATGAATGCATCCTCCTAAGTGTATGCACACATGGGTGATGTTTCCGTCCCTCACATTTTCGTCTCCATATGAAGCGATGGAGACATCAAGGACACATTGTCTCGCATGGCAGGGGGAGCGTAGTTTCTCGCTGTTCCTGGTTTATAGGCTAATTGGAATTTTAAAAAGATTTGCCACATTATCCTGGCAGATGGCATTTTGCTTTATCATTATTCATGGGTATTAATGACTTCCCTCTGGAGCATGTGTATCCTGTCTATTTGGAATTGCATTACATTTCATGCTGACTGCTCCACACAGAACCGGAGCCAGTATTTTCTGCGCGGCGCTGAAGCCGCACATCGTTTGGTGGGTCAAAGTTGGCGACTTGATTAGGAATTAAGTAACTCTTCGCAATGAAGAAACCCGTTTTCTTCCCCGTCCTGAATACCCCATTACGTTTCTCATTTTCTTCAGCTTGCTCTCCCGCGAGGCGGCAGGTAATATCTGCTGCCCGAAGACAACTGCGGAGCGGATGCATCTTTCATTAGCCTGAGGTGATCAGACGTCCTCTCTCCCTCCCTTGGAAGGCTGGGGTTTGGTTTCCTAAATGGAGAAAATGCATGAGAACACGATGCAGGGATCCCGCCGCAGAAAGTCATTTTTTAATGAATTCCTTCAACAAATATTTATTAGAGAACAGCCTCTTTGTTTACTTGGTCTTTAAAATGCTTGAGCCTCAATGAGGCAGCTGGCAGAGTTGATTGCAACCAGCTAATCACCTGAGGGGAGCATTACGTCACAGAGCAGAGCAGCACAGAGCAGAAAATGGTGGTAGGTGGAGGATGCCACGGTCCTTACTTGGGAGCAACAAAAGTCAAAAGAGTGGGACATGGAGTATAACTTATGGGAGCCTCCTGATAACACGAATGCTTTTCTGCAACCAGAGGACACATTTGAGAATGAGGAGCTAAGGCTAGGGTTGTCCGACCGGGTGGTCTTGCTTCCTGGGCTCTCTGTCCTTACTTGATTCTAGGCACTTCCATGGCCACCTTCATATACATTCTTCCCAACTTTCATCCTTCTATAGTTCAATGTTTTTTAGTGAAACACTGTTTTAGATTCTGATATTCAGAAATTAAAACAACAGGCAAGATCTCTACATCATGGAGGTTAGAGACAGTCTCTCTCTAGAGCAGAGGGCCTTTTTGGTTGATGGCCGGTGTAACAAAGACAATGTCTCCTTCTGAGACAAAGGTTGGTCAGATGTGCTTGTCAGTTATTATAAAAGACTAGAGGCCAGTGCACCAAATTCGTGCACAGGTAGGGTCCCTAGCAGCTGCCAGTTGCCAGCCGGGGTCTTCCTTCATTCTG